AAAGATACTTATGATGATGGAAATATTCTATATCTTGACTTTCCATGTAATCTTGTCGATATCCTAGTTGTGATATTGTGCTGTGATTTTTGTAATATGTTATGAGAAGCTAGGTAATAGGTATACAGGACCTTCCTATCATTTCTTAAAATTAGTGTTAATCTATACTTATTTAAAAAAGAGTTTAAAAATGAAGGCCAATGAATATTGACAACTGAAAATAAATAATTTACTACTCCTTAACCAATTCTCAGATAGTCTATTTTCTGGAATGAAATAGATTCATGTTTTGTTTGCTTATAAATAAATTGAATTATTTTAGTTTGGCATGTTATTTTAAAATGAAATATTTATGGAAACTTAAATAATGGTAATGGAAATATCACTTGCCAAACTATTGCACTGCTAATACTTTTTCTAAATATGGACTTTTCCACTTATTTTTGTAGAAGTAGAAAATTCCTTTATCAAGTATGTTTTGAATCTTAAGATATCTAATTTTGCTTATCTTAGTTAATTTTAGTAAGGCAACAACGGCCTCTAAATTCAATCCCAGCTCAAATATTTACCATGATATACAGGCAGAAAGTTCCAAAGAGAGTGATAATCTTAAAACCACTACATACAAGTTACAAAGAAATGTATATAATTTACAGAGAAATTTTCCTTTTCTTTCCATATTTGGCACAATACTTCTCAAGGTAAATCCAATTCCCTAGATCAAATATTTAACACAATGACTATTCTTTTCAAGCCTATGATAGTTTTCATTTACAAAATTTAAACCTTTTTTTACCTTTTCAGAGACAGGGTCTCAGTCTGTTGCCCAAGCTGAAGGGCAGTGGCATGGTCATAGCTCACTGTAACCTCAAACTCATGGGCTCAAGTGTCCTCCTGCCTCAGCCTCCTGAGTAGGTGGGACTACAGGTGCAGAGCAGTGCACCTGGCTACCTTTTACAATTTTTTGTAGAGACGGGCTCTCACTATGTTGCCCAGGCTGGTCTCAAAAATCCTGGCCTCAAGCAATTCTCCTGCCTTGGCATCTCAGTGTTGGGATTACAGGCATGAGCCACTGTGCCTGGCCTGCATAAATATCATTAAATACTATTTGACATTATATATAAATTTAATATTATCTATATTAAACTTATCAAACCCGATATGAATTTTGAATGGAAGGAGAATGTGTCTGATAGCATTTTACAGAATTCAATATATCTCAAAAATTATTTTGAGTAATATAATAAATAAAATTTAGTTAGATATACCACTAATGTGCTAAAAATATGTTTATCCTACAAAGTGAGGTAAATCATTACCACTTGAGGTAAGAATAATTATCACATTATAAAAATGGAAAAAGGACATTTAATAAATAAGCTATAAAAAGATTGATTTTGTTTTCTTTCATCTCATATTTACCCTTTTACTTTTTAAGACTCATAAGAATAAGAAAAGATGCTGGGCATAGTGGCTCATGCCTGTAATCCCAATATTTTGGGAATCCGAGGCAAATAGATCACTCTAGGTCAAGAGTTCCAGACCAGCCTGGCCAACATGGTGAAACCCCATCTCTACAGAAAGTACAAAGATTAGTTGGGCATGGTGGTATGTGTCTGTAATCCCAGGTATTTGGGTGGCTGAGGCACAAGAATCACTTGAAGCTGGGAGGCGGAGATTATAGTGAGCAGAGATTGTGCTACTGCACTCCAGCCTGGGTGACACAGCAAGACTCTGTCTCAAACAAACAAACAAAAAAAAACAAGAAAAGAAGTTGCCAAAATAGTGCAGAGAATCCCAATCTACTATTCACCTTACTCTCCCCAATGATAAGATTCTACATAACTATAGTACATTCTCAAATCCAGGAAATTGACCTTGATATGTTATTAACTAAACTAGAGACTATTCATTTTTGTTTGTACATACACTTGTTTTTTTTCAGTGTACAATATTATAAAATTTTATCACATATAGATATGAAAATTATTAACAAATGGATGGTTATTTGAAGCCATAGTGTTAACGGAGATGACTCCAAAAAGGATTTAGAGAGAGAGAAAAGGGTTGAGATCAGAACACTGGTAAATGTGATAATTAAGGGATGGGTCTAGGCAAAGAGCAGTAGAATAAAAAAATGAGAAGAAATGGTCAGAGAGGTAGGAGAAAAGTTAAGAGAGTGAGGTCCTGGAACCCAAAGGAGAAAAGGGTTTTAAGATAAAGGGAGCAGCTGCTGTAGAGATGAAAGATAAAGTAAGGACTAAAAAGAGTCTAATGGACCTGGAAAATTGGTCGTTAATAACTTTTGCTAGAGCAGTTGTGGTGGAATAGTAGTTATGAAAGAATGAATGGAGAGTAAGTAAGTAGACATAGTGAACTATGGAACATCTAATGAGGTAGGTAGAGCAATGAATGCAAACCGAGAGAAAGAAAGATAATAAATGAGGTGATAATCCAAACAGAACTAAATATACATAGGAAGAGATGTTGTGTGGGAAAGAAGAGGGGCATTTCTGATTTCGAAATAACTGAAGAGAAAACAATGTATCTTCCTAATGAGTCATGTTAAATATCTGTGACCACAAAACATTTTTCCTTCCACTAGTGTTAGCTGTGAATCAACTCAGCAAATATTTATTGAACACTTACTAAAGGTGGATTCTTCCAGAGAAACAAAGATAAGTAAGACTGGATTGCTGCTGCCTAAAAAGCTTGCAGTTTAATATTGGAGATATAATTTTACACAATATTCCAACTTAGGTTGGGGGAATGAAAAGGAGCTAGCCAAGAAAAAAGCATTCTAGGAAGAGGAAACAGCTTGAGTAAAAGCATAAAGAAATAGATTGGTTTTTCAAGATTTCAAAGAAGAGGTGACAAGCAAAAGGTAGAGCAGAGAGGCAGGAGGCAGACAAATGCCTAGGCAGAAAAGGGCGGGACCTCAGTGAAATCCAACCTTCAAGCTGGAAACAGTCCTGTGAATATCCTCCAACCTGAGGATATCCTTCCAGACTGAGAACCTGCCTTCCTGTTTGGTGTGCTTTCCTCTGATTGGTCCCCATCCTTCACCTATTTTACATATACCTACCCATTTCTAATTGATTTTCTACACTATTGTGCCCACCTTAACCTTTTTTACATACCCAAAAACCAGTCAGCATACACTCCCTATTCTGAACCCATAAAAAGCCCTGGGCTCAGCCATATTGGGAACTCTACTGCCTTTGGGTAAGGAGACCACCCCTGCTTCCCCTCCTTGCTAAAAACTGTTTCATCACTGAGTAAAACTTCCTGCCTTGCTAACTCTTCGCATGTCTGTGTGCTTACTTCTTTCTGCTCCTGAGACAAGAACCCAGACCTAGCTGAGCTAAGGAGCAAAAAATCATCTATCTGCAGCTGGAGACAAGGTTTGAGAGGTGAACGGGTCAGATTTTGAAGGGCCCTGAAGACTTTAGTGAGGACAATGGCTTTTGTTTTCTGTGCAGTAGGAAGCCACTGAAGGATGTTAATCTCTGAAAGGTTTACAGTATTCAAAACGTAATTCTGGTTGCACTGTGGAAAATGTGCTTTGGGGGAAGGATGGGTAAGAGATGGTGGTGGTTGAAATTACAGCAGTAGCAACATAAAAGGAAAGAAATGGATGATGTTCAGATACAGAATTGGAGCTAGAATTTGCCTCTCCATGCTCCTCACTGCTGAGTCCACTAATGTGATTCTTGAGCCAATCCTCATGGAAACAAGAACTTTAACTGTTTCTGGCTCCAAATGAGGGACTAAGGCTCATACTAAATCTGGCCAAAATGATATCAGCAATAAGCTGTAGAGTCAGAATGCAAACTCAGATCTCTGACTCCAGACTCTATTAATATCAGACTCAGTCCTGATTGCTGTACTTGCCACAACCAAGTCCTGATCTACAAATCCCAGTGCTGACCACTGGAGGATGTGCATGGATGCCTTGATGGTACTCACTTCTCTTTAGTTCTCTGGATCTCTTGTAGAGTCTGTATTCAGGCAACAAGTCAAACTGAGCTTCTGTCTTAGTCCCTATTATAAGTGAATGAAACTTGAGAATCATGACAGTGTCAGAGTCACAGTTATGTCACCAGCTTGTCTTATCCTCTAAATATTTACTGAAAGAACAAACAAATTAGCCCTATGGGGAAGACAGGAATCCCCATTTTACAGAAGGGAAATTTAGGCTCATACTAAATCTGGCCAAAATGATATCAGCAATAAGCTGTAGAGTCAGAATGCAAACTCAGATCTCTGACTCCAGACTCTATTAAAATTTGTAGATATATCTATATCTATATCTATATCTATATTTAGACCAAAGCCAAAATAAAACAGTTAACTGGAAGTTTCAGGGCCCATATAAAATGTGTTGAAAGGAGGCACCTTCAGTATTTCTTCCTTCATGATATACCTTGAGGGATAAATTATGTTAATTATCATTGACTGCTTCCAAACTTTATTTCTGTTGACCTTTAGTCCTGATAGTCATATATAGCACCCTTTTGATATTTATTTTAATTTGATAGAATAAAAACAGTGTATCATCTTAAATATGCAATCAATAATTTTAACAACTGAGAATGTCCTTTTCAAATGGTATTTACGTATGCATACTCTCTGAAAATCTAAAAGAAAAAAGATAAATGAAAAGTAGAGGACCAATGTTTTATGGTTTGGTTAAATAAAAAGCCAAAAGATAAATGTAGTTTCAAAGCTTTAAAATTTTGAATGTGAAATTCAGTGTCTTCAGGATCTATATAACATAAATGAACCCATCTTCCATTGACATTATAACTAATATAATGGGAATAGCAGTACCCTCTTGCCAGACATGTATAAAGAAACTTAAATAGATTGTAAATCAGTCACTTCCAAGCTTTCAAGAAGATAATCTCCTAGAGGATATTTCACCATAATCCACATTTTTTGAAAGCATGAGTGTAAATGTTTAATGACTACATATAGGTTCTAAATTTTATACTCACTCTTTCATGATATTTTTGATTCTTTTCCCTAAGTGTCTTTATTTGAAACATGAATCGCTCTGCTGCATTTTCCTTTATTTGACATCTGGGAATCAACAAAGATAAAATGTGTTAGAATAATTTATCTTAGGAAAAATTCATAAGAAAAATTAAAAAAGTATTTGGAGTGAATTATTAAATACATTATGAAAACACATTTAGGGATAAAATCTTTCCCAAATGGTTTTCTGTTTCTGAATCTGTTTAACTAAAATATATATTGGAGAGATAACTTCAAGGATTTTTTTTCTTTTAAAAAAAATCCCTGTTCATATTTTATAGTTGTAATTTCATACTTTCGAATTGTTTATAAATAATTCGGCCTAAAGGAAAAAAGGAGAGCATACAGAAAACATGCTTTCTAGAATTCTAAATATATTCAGACAAAAATGATAAAACTAAGACTTTATAAGGGCAAGCACACTTTCTTGAAATATTAAGGTAAACTAGGCATGCCTATTGGTTCAAGTTCATTAGCATGCCCTCTCTTCTACAAATAGTAAAAACTTCTTTTCTGGCACAAATACATTTCTTTAATACTCAACAAGTATTTGTTGAGTGTCTGTTAGGTATGAGAGATAGAAAAGTGTAGACTTTTGTATAGGCTATTAGATAGCTATTTGAGGTATTAAGTATAGTACATCTTTTTAAGAATTTGCTGGGTATGGTGAGTCACACCTGTAATCCCAGCACTCTGGGAGGCTGAGGCAGGTGGATCTTTTTTTTGAGTGGAGTCTTGCTCTGTTGCCTTGGCTGGAGTGCAGTAGTGTGATCTTGGCTCACTGCAACCACTGTCTCCTGGGTTCAAGCGATTCTCCTGCCTCAGCCTCCTGAGTAACTGGGATTATAGGCACCTGTCACCACACCTGGCTAATTTTTCTATTTTTAGTAGATACAGGGTTTCTCCTTGTTGACCAGGCTGGTCTTGAACTCCTGACATCAAGTGATCCACCCACTTCGGCCTTCCAAAGTGCTGGGATTACAGGCATGAGCCACCGCGTCCAGCCAGCAGGTGGATCTCTTGAGGACAGGAGTTCCAGACCAGGCTGGCCAACATGGCGAAACCCTGTCCTTCTAAAAATACAAAAATTAGCCAGCTATGGTGGCGAAGACCTGTAGTCCCAGCTACTCAGGAGGCTGAGGCAGGAGAATCGCTTGAACCCAGGAGGTGGAGGTTGCAGTGAGCCAAGATCATGCCACTGCACTCCAGCATGGGTGACAGAGTGAGATCCTGTCTCAAAGTAAATAAATAATTAAAAAATGTTATAGTATATCTTGTATCACCATGACCTAGTAAATCTTATAACTTTAAATCTGAGACCAAAATAATGCAAAGGAAATGTGTTATCTAAACCCTTTGGCTCAATTAAAAACAAAACAAAACAAAACCAGAAATACAGCACCTCTGTAGTACAGTGAACAGAAGAGTAGTTAAAGAATGAGAAACTCTGGTTTTAAATCTTGCCCTTACCACTTCTTGTCTACATTATCTCAGGCAAGTCAATTCCCTGTGCCTAAATGTCCAAGCTGTCAAATGAGATAAGAATACTTAGTTCTGCATATTATCATAAGGATTAAAATAAGAAATCATATGTGAATGCTTCTAGCATAAAGTAAATGCTTAGTAAATTTCAGTTGAATTGAGCCTTATATCCTTAGCCCTTCCCCCCAAACGTCAATTATATTTGTGACATTGTATACTCAGTAGAGAGAAAAAGTAAGCTCTTTCTTTCCCAATAATGAGAAAATGCAACATTAAAAAAAATCCTTTACTGCTCATAAAAAGCTCTGTTTGGATATTATGAAACTTGAATTTTAGAGCTGGTTTTCCAGTTCTCTAGGGATATTTAACCTTTAGGCTTTCGCTTACTGTTCAAGAAATAAGAGGATTGATGGAGATGAACTCTATGCTTTCTTTTCAGTTCCAAAATTCTGCAATTTAAATGGACCAGTATTCCCTTTCAAACAGTCATATATACAATATAGATTTAAAGACCTGCCACCAGGTGCCCAGCATTGTTTTAGGCATTATAGAAATAGTTTTTTTTTTTTTTTTTTTACCTTTGGAAACAGTCTTGCTCTGTCACTCAGGCTGGAGTACAGTGGCACGGTCTTGGCTCACTGCAACCTCCCCGTCCCAGGTTCAATCTATTCTCCCACTTTAGCCCTCTACCCCACCAGTAGCTGGGATTATATGTACGTGCCACAATGCCCAGCTAATTTTTGAATTTTTTGCAGAGATGAGGTTTCACCATATTGGCCAGTCCGACCTTGAACTCCTGGCTTCAAGTGATCCACCCACCTTGGCCTCCCAAAGTACCGGTGTGAGCCACTGTGCTTGGCCTATACTTTTTAACAACACCTTCATGATCCTTGCCTTCAAGGAGTACCTTTTACTGGATAATAAGAAGTAAACGCATACATATATTGAAACATATTGTTTCTATATTATGATAAGTACCATGGGGAAAATAAGAATATAAGAAGGACTGTAAATGGAGGGGACTACTATAGATAGGCGGCTACACAAAATAGTAAGAAAATAAGGTGCTATGCTCTTCAGGCTGGGCTTGAACTCCTGGGCTCAAAGAACCCTCCAACCTCGCCTCCCAAGTAGCTGGGGTTACAGATGTGCACCACCACACCTGGCGTATCTTTGACTTCTTACTTAAAGCTTACGTTTGTGCAAAAATTTTGAAGGAGTGCCTTATCTACCTCCTGTTTTTCAGGAGATTAAAAAAAAGTATTATAAATGAAAATTATCTGAAAAGAACCAATGCAAATGTGCAAATTACTCACATAATTTCTGCAATTATAAATATCGTAATACTACTTCTTTACATGGGTAGAGCAAGCAAATGAATCTCAGGATGTGGTCTTCATTGGTTAAACTGAGTCTACAGATGGGCTTGTGAATAGACAAAAATTTTTTTTAATAACTGGTAATCAATTTATTAAAATAGCTGACTTTAAGCACCTGCAATGGTGACTTCCACTTCAACTCCTGGCTCAATACTGATGGAAGTAATCTACTTAACAATCTCAGAAGGACTGTGCCAGTCAATGAGTCACTTGTGGATTCTTATCTGGAAATGATCCCATGTCTTAGAACTTTCACTACAAGGTGTTTTTCTTGTAGTGATTCTCAGTCTTGGTAGGCATTCGAACTGGTCCTTTCACTTTGAGATTCTTTTCCTTTGCTCCTCTGATCAAGTCAGCACACACCTTCTCCAGGGATTTTACTTTGCGGCTTGTTAGAGTGATTTGAATTTGGTAAATTTGCCACCTCCGGCTCCACGGGTGTTTTTCTGGTATCCTTAAAAGCCATGGCTGCTGCGAGGCTTCCTGACCGACTTGTTCCTCAGCAAGAGTGAACAGTGGTGAGTAAGGAGCAAGAGCATGCAAACCAACAATCTGCAACAGCTACGACTGCGTCTTCCTCAAAGAGAAAGGGCAATAGACAAATTTTCTGGCTGCAGCTGAGAGCTTTCCTTGGTGATGACTGAGCATGCAATTATTGGGCTGGAGACTACATGCTGCCCCAGCCCAACTTCATGGGTCATATTTATACTAAAAAAAATTATTTGCTGTTTCTCTGAAACTCTAATTGGGCAGCCTTTATTTCTATTTGATACATCTGGCAACCCCACACTTAAGACCACCACCCCTCCCTCAGAGCATTTAGTAGCAAATGGCCTCAGGGTTTGTCTCTTGTCCATTTCTGCAGTGAGTAGTTCTGGATGATGTGAGTGGCAGCAGCAGGCCTCGGGGGAATTCTGAGATGCCCTAAATGTTTTGGCAGCTTTACTGGCCCCCTTATGGAGCTCATGGTAGCTGGGGGTCTAATTTAGCTGAGCCTCTCTTTGCCTTCTCTGGCTTCATGAAGAGGCGTATTTTATCAGGAAGCAAATGAAGCTTAACTTCAGAACTCGACACTATTATGGGGACTTCAAGCATCATTGTTCTCTATACACTTCTTCCTTTTTAATATCTCCCCATCTACTCAGTGCCCTAGAATCTGAAATGTCACACTAGGTGCTGAAGCAAGTGGGGCGATAAAAAAACCAATATACATTAAACGAGTTTGAAAAGGATGTGGTAATATTCTAAAGCATAGTAACACTAAATTGTTAGTAGTACAGTATGTCACCTTTCGCCCCACCTCTCTATATTGTTAAAATGTTAGTAATGTGTCAGTGATCCCCCTATTCATGCAATTTCATTGAAGATTTTGGGAAGGAAAACAAATTAATTTGAATTCCAAAAAACCTATATTTTTGTGTTTTTGCTTTAACCCATAAACATACCCACATCTGTTTTTTATATCTCTATTCATATTTAATGTAGAAACTTGGGAGACAACAAGTATAAAGGAGAAAATAAAAACTACCGTTACTTAGAGATGATCATGTTATAGATTTAGTATTGAACAACCATAGAAGTTCATGACCTTGTATTCTGGGAAAGAGTTCCTGTATCCTTGAAATTACCTGATGAAAGGGCAGGATCGCTTTGTTGCAAATGTTTTCAGAATATTAACAATCTGTACTCACCACTGGGTAAGAAAGAGCTCATTTATTGGTGGGCATTTCATCACTGAGTGTTAATACGTTAAAAATTTTATTTCCTGTATCAACAGGCAACAATAATATTGTATTTGTTTTCATGAGTGTGATTTTAGCTTTCAGACAAGATCCAACAATATTTACTCAACAAAGAAACTCTGAGCTCATACTATATATCAGGCTGTGTTAGATACTAGAGGTATAGACAGGAGTAAACAACAGTCTTCAAGGAGCTCACAGTTTGTTGAGGGAGAGCCAAGCACAAATGTCCTGCCATATTTTTCCTTCACCTAAAATATTCTAACTGCCTCATCCATATAAAAACACAAATCTTGGCTAGACCCAGTGGCTCACGCCTGTAATCCTAGCACTTTGGGAGGTCGAGATGGGCTGATCACTTGAGCCCAGGAGTTCAAGACAAGCCTGGTCAATGTAGGGAGACCTTGTCTCTATAAAAATAAACAAACATGGCTCATACCTGTAATCCCAGCATTTTGGGAGGCCAAAGTGGGCAAATTACCTGAGATCCGGGGCTGAAGACCAGCCTGGCCCACATGGTGAAAACCCATCTCTACCAAAAATACAAAAAATTAGTGGACATGTTGGCATGTGCCTGTAATCTCAGCTACTTGGGAGTCTGAGGTGGGAGAATCAGTTGAACCTGGGAGGTAGGGGTTGTGGTGAGCTGAGATCATGCCACTGCACTCCAGCCTGGGGGTGACAGAGCAAGACTTTTGTCTCAAAAACCAACCAACCAACCAACAAATCATTGATCCAAATAAACTTGACTTTCAAAAAATCTATATCTTCTTCATTTTTTCACTCATAACCATATTCTCACCTATTTTTGTATCTATATCTATACTTATTGCAGACAACTGAAGGGAAAACAAGTATAAAGGAGAAAAGAAAAACAATCGTTATTCAGAGATGATTATTTTATAGACTGAACATTGGTAGTATCAGCTCTTCCCAAATAACCATAGAAGTTCAAGACTTTCTTGGGATAAATTTGAAAAAAGGTCAATTGCTCAAAAACCATGAATTAACTACCTACTGTGTGCTCACTGCTTTATTAGGAGCTGAAGGAGGTATAAGAGGCTGCCAGGGGACTCCTGGAAAATCATTCCTCAGATGATGAGAGAGAGTGTCCTGGCTATTTGTCATGTGACAACAGTTTCGTCACTGAGGAACACATGGAATGCATAAATACATAACACGTGTTCCTTTTCCAGAAATCAGCTTGAAGCTTTCTCAAACAAGCTTTTCCTAACCCCTCTGTCTAGGTCAAGTCCTTTAGTTATGCTGTTAAACAGCACCCTACATTTTTCTTTTTTAGTACCTTTATTATAGTCATGTAACTTTTTTTTTTTTTTGAGACAGGATCTCTTTCTGCCTCCAAGGCTGGAGTGCAGTGACACAATCATGGCTCAGTGTAACCTTGACCTCCCTGGGTTCAGGCAATCCTCCCACCTCCACCTCCTAAATAGCAGGAACTAATTTTTATTTTGTAGTGACGGGGTTTTATCATGTTGCTCAGGCTGATCTCAAACTCCTGGGCTCATCCACCCACCTTGGCCTCTCAAAGTGCTAGGATTACAGGCATGAACCACCACACTGTCCTGTCATTTTTTTTAAAGCTCAAATTAGTGGTTTATTGTCTGTCTCCCATGCTTCATCAAGGCAGGAACCATGTGATCGTGTTTGCTGCTATACTTCCGTACCCAGCACTTGATTTGCACTTGGTAGACACTCAAGTACTTACTGAATGAACACATGAATGAAGCACATTTCAGCTTTATGTGAGAAAAGACTAACACTTATCTATTAATTCTCTAAGAATTACACATTAAACTCCTACCTTGTGCCAAAAGCTAAAGTTCACAACCGTCAAGGAGCTATTTGTTGGAGTAAAACATAAACATAGAATAAATATTACCTATACTTTTGTCTCCAGCTCTTAGGAGTGAGACATTGTGAAATTTTATTCTTATTAAAAGAATTTTCTGTAAGTCATTTGGATTTTATATGTAGCCGTTTAGGAAAATGTAAGTTGGAATGTATAAGAAATAAAAGGTCACATAAAGGGAAATTTTCTCTTCCATTCTCTCTCTTTTTGTTTTTGAGATGGAGTCTTGCTCTGTTGCCCAGGCTGGAATGCAGTGGTGTGATCTTGGCTAACTGCAACCTCCACCTCCCAGGTTTGAGCAATTCTTCTGCCTCAGTCTTCCAAGTAGCTGAGATTACAGGTACACGTCACCATGTCTGGCTAATTTTTTGATTTTAGTCGATACTTGTTTTCACCATGTTGGCCAGACTGGTTCTTAAACTGCCAACCGGTTTGGCCTCCTAAAGTGCTGGGATTACAGGCATGAAACATGACATCCGGCCTCTTCTACTCTCTATAAATGTAAACTAACCATTCTATGCTGTATTTTAAGAGGTAAGCTAGCAAGCTGTTGTATGCATCGGTGAGAGTACCCAATAATACAATTGAGGGAGCCAATACCACATTAATGAAAGCTGGTTCATAGCAGCTTTCATTTCATTTCATAACATAGTCTAAGTAGTCATAGCTACTACTTGGACTATGTTATATTAAAAGTTTCAAAAACCTTTAAAAATATGTGCATAGCACAAGAGTGCAATTATGCTTCCAAATCCACATCTATTCTTCTGGCAGGTGCTGCATGCATCATTTCCATTTGGAGTTATATGAGTCTTAACAATGACTGCCCTTTATATATGGCAACTTTCAGATTTCAGAATAAAAACTTACTGATAGTCTAGAAGTGCTTCACTGGTAGGCAATTTAACTTCTTTTGGTGGCCCATCATATGTATCCTTTTTATTTGCTTTCCCTGAGTTTTCCATTGTGCTGGTTAGCTATTAAGAAATATACCTGTTTAGAAAAGAGACATAGGAAAAGTGAAAAATTCCATCTTTGCCTCCCCATTTTTGTTTACTCTAGATAAGGTACCTCTAGGACTTAATACTGGCTTTCTATCCTGATTGTTTCCATGTCCCCAGATCTAACATTCATCACAATGGTGGAACATCATGAAATGATTGGATTCTTGATTTTGGGTGAATTCCATGTTTAGCCCAGGTATAGCATTTCCTCCACCCAAAACTTTCTGAGAGACTCCCTCTCTTATGTTATTCATCTATATCTGTCGCCCCTATCTAGATTTTTTAAGAGCAAAGAACAGAGCTTTTTCAACCATTTTATTTCTCCACAGCATTTTGCAGAGAGACATTAATTAAATGTCTATTATTTTTTCAAAGAAAATAAAAACAAAACCACAATTTTCTATGAGCATGAAGAAGCTAGGATCCAAAAGACTTAAGAATAAGAATCAGGATCCAAAAAATTAGGTTTGGCCACGGTTGTTATAAGGAGCAAATAAAAGCACACAATGAAGTACTTTTAAAATGATTGAGATTTACAAATGCGAATAATAATAATGTATTAACAATAACTGCTCATCAGCTATTAATTGATTTTATACCTAACAATAAAAAAATCAAAAATACTTTTTAAAAGGAAAAATCAAGACCCACTGTTCACAGGTGTTTATAGTAAGCAGGAGAACTTTCATGCATTTGGTTTGGGTACTAAAATAGACTTTTCAGGTTATAGTCTTCCTTAACACATTTTTATCTTTTAATGTCCACTATTCTTAAAAGAATAAGTACCTAGCCTTAAATAAATGTATCAGTAGTTAGGTGTGGTAGAAAGCATATAATATAACCTTTGCAATTATTTGTTTAAATGGCTGGAAACTCTCATGAGAGTGAGGATGATGTAATTCTTGTGCACTACTGTATTTCCTCACCAAGCACAACAGACACACAATAAATGCTTGTCAAATGAATACAGGAGTGGATGCATGAATGAATCAGGTGGACATGGGCTTTAATCCTAGATGCAGCTGTGTGACCTTGAATAGGTTACTTAATCTTTTTGCAGAATTTCAGTTTCATCATCTGTCAAGGGAGAAGGATAACAATTTTACTCTAAGAGCTATTGTAAGGATTAAATAAGCTAATATTTAAAGCACCTGGCATAGTGTCTGATGTATAGAAAAAGGGCATATATCTATCTGTAGCTCTATCTCTGTATAATGCCCCTTCCTCTTTCCCTTTAGTTGTTGCTCCAGGTCAAGCTTCTTCAAATTCTGGGTAACTAAAGCATAGAATATCTGCCTGCTGCCAAGTACGATGATGTGTGGAAAGACTAAGTCATGAGGTTTGCTATTGGCAACTTTCATTGATTTGGATCACTGAATTGGCAATTCACACAAATCTTTGTAGACGATTCAGCCCCAAAGTGGAAAAACTTATTAAAATGAAAACATGCTTTATCTCTGTAGACATGCTGCTTGCAGACTCAGACCTCCAGTGAGGCTGTCTTTATGTCTGTGATTTTTCTAACCAAGTATGCACTACTCTATACACTAACAAATTTGAGTTTATACATGATTGCAAACATACCACAATACTTTACATCTGAAAAGCATGCAGATGACACAACAAAAAGATTTAGTACATTAATTAGTATCTTCTCAAATATGAAAGTATTGAGAGTAATAGGCTACACACCAAAAAGTGTCATCTTGATACCACCCCAGTTCAAAGAAAATTATCAGCTAAGAAAAGATTACTCTTTTGTTTCAGATGCAGAGTTAAATTTCTATATTATTTTCCATTTTAGAATTAGAATTTTAAACTTGACTATTGCACAAAAAGCATACTGACAAATGTTTCATTTTAAAACAATTATTTAGTAATAATTTTTACTATAAAATATTTTATTTAAAAGTTAAATGTCAACATTAATCTCTTTCTAAGTCATATGGAAGAGATCAAGTGTTATGGTTTTTACCTGCGGTACCCATCTGGTGTTGGAGGAAAAATGACCTCATCTTGCTCAATTACCTTAGTTACTTGGTTTTATGTTTTAAACTCTCTGACTAATGTATAATTACTTACCTAATTGCAGCTCATGGCAAAGATTTTAATAAAATATGAGTGAAAATGTGAACCCATTAAAGCGCAAATGCTTTATGTATAAACTCTATTAAGATTCATTGTTTCACACACTTTAAGAAAATTCGTAAGCCAATTGGACTTCCTGCTTAACAGCTGCATTTTTGTGATGAGCTAACCATGGTATCTCAGTATCTATTTTTGCATTTGATAATGCTGTATAAACCATGGGCCCCTTCATAAACATTTACAAGGATTCACAGTTCCTGACCAACCAGAAGATTTCTCTCAGTTAAAGGGTAATAATCCTAGAAAAATATTCACAAAGTAAATACAATGATCTTCCAGGAAGGTTACACTTAGAATATCTGACAAATGGACATAGAATCTATCAGTAACTACAAACATCTATTCAATGCCTGCCCTGTGCATGGTGCTTTACGTGGCCCCTGGGTTTCATACAAAGTATAAGAGAGGCAAGACCTGACTCAGACAGATAGGAAGAAAGAAGCTCACTGCAGCAGAACTTTGAAAAAATGAGCAGCTTTAAAAGACTCTAGGAAAATCCTACAGATACTGCTAGGGAGATATTCACCTAGCATGTGACCTCCCTTTTGTGCTCATGTGTGTTTTCATCTCCCAACTGTGTTTGGGGTCTCTGAAACATACACCATAATGTAAGGACAGGTGAACATCCTGGGTTTGAAAGACTCAGGTTCCCAACCAATCTTCCTAGAATCTGCTCTATAATCATTTTCTGTCATAAAATCTTTCAATAAATATTTCCCAAATGCCCTCAGTGAAAAGTCAGAAGTCTGTTTACTAAAAATAGACATATCACAATCATTTTTTTCATATGTACTGTTATCCCATACTGCGTTGGCTCTGCAAAGTTACCTATAGAACATAGTGTGTGTCCCTTCCTGTACTGTCTCAGGATCCTGGTTCAGTATCTAGAAAGCTTAAAATAAATGATTTTTTTTTTTTGAGACAAAGTCTGGCTCTGTTGCCCAGGTTAAAGTGCAGTGATGCCTAGGCTAAAATGCAGGCTCACTGCAACTTCTGCCTCCCAAGTGCAAGCCATCCTCCCACTTTAACCTCCAGAGTATCTGGGATTACAGGTACATGCCACCATGCCTGACTAATTTTTATATTTTTTCAGAGAGGGTGTTTTGCCATGTTTCTCAGGATGATTTTGAACTCCTGAGCTCAAGTGATTCACCCACCTTGGCCTCCCAAAGTGCTAGGATTACAGGCATGAGCCACTGCACATAATTCTGTGGAGGCTGGGAGGGATGGCAGTTCTGGCCATATATGGCCTTTCTGGCCATATAAAATGGATCTTGAGGTTTGATAGCTAATGTTTTACATAAATGTACATTAAAATGAAAGATATTTAGTTAATAGCATTAGTAATGGCAGAAGTTCGGAGTAAGAGTCCATCAAGGCATAAGAGCATGATATAAAAGATTTCTATTTGGGTGCTAGATGTCTTGAAGTCTAGTCGTGGCTCAGCCATTAACTAGCTAGAAAGTGAGCCATTAACTGCACAGTTTTGAACTGCAGTTCCCAAATTTTACTGGATTCTCAACTATAAATTGTAAGGCTAATAAAAGTAGTAGTGTGGTGGTAATGCAGTGCTTCCAAAAGCCTTATTAAAGAGCAATCTAACTTAAAAGGTACATACTTCACTGTAATGTTAACTGCAAGGCTGACATACATATTCAAAAACATTCATGGTACTCATCTTCAACAAAATACAATTCCTTTAATGCTAGTGACACCTAACTACTTCAATAAACCCTCATCTTTGGGAATTCAAAAACAGATGTTGTATCCTTTAATATTTAAATTCATCTTCTTGAGAAGCCTCTTGTTATTATCCTAACTAGTGATAAATAACCTCACCTTGTAGCCCCACAGCAATTTGTACTTTTTTTTCACCATTTATGGCTTGTAATAGACAGTGTCTATTGTTTCCATCTTTGTGTTCATGTATTTTCAACATTTAGCTCCCACTTATAATGAGAACATGCAATATTGCTTTTCTGTTCCTGCATTAGTTTGCTTAGGATAATGGCCTCCAGCTGCATCCATGTTGCTGCAAAGGACACAATTTTGTTCTTTTTATGGCTGTGTAGCAGTCCATGGTGTATGTGTACTACATTTTCTTTATCTAGTCTACCATTGATTAGTATCTTGGTTGATTCTATGTCTTTGCTACTGTGAATAGTGCTACAATGAACATGAGTCCATGTGTCTTTTTCGTAGAATGATTTATTTTCCTTAGGGTATATACCCTAAGTATAGTAGCAGGATTGCTGAGTTGAATGGCATTTCTGTTTTAAGTTCTTTGAGAAATCTTCACAATGCTTTCCACATGTTCTTTAACATTCCCACCATAAGTGTTCCCTTTTCTTCTGAACCTCACTGGCATCTGTTTTTCTCTTTTTAATAATTGCCATTCTGATTGCTGTGGGATAGTATCTCATTGTGGTTTTGATTTGCATTTATCTAATGATCAGTGATGATGAGCATTTTTTCATATATTTGTTGGTCTGATGTATGTTTTCTTTTGCAAAGTATCTGTTCATGTCCTTTGCCTGTTTTTAAGTGGTGTTATTTGCTTTTTGCTTGCTGAATTAAGTTCCTTATAGATTCCAGATATTAGACCTTTTTTGGATGCATGGTTTGTGAATATTTTCTCACATTCTGCAGGTTGTCTGTTTACTCTGTTGATAGTTTCTTTTGCTGTGCAGAAGCTCTTTAATTAGTTCCACTTGTCTATTTTTTGTTGTTGTTACAGTTGCTTTTGGGGATTTAGTCATACATTCTTTGCCAAGGCCAATGTCCAGAATGGTATTTTCTAGGTTTTCTTCCAGAGTGTTTATTGTTTTAGGTCTTACATTTAAGTATTTAATTCATCTTGAGTTAATTTTTGTATGTGGTAAAAGGAAGGGGGTCAGTTTTAATCTTCTACATATGGCTGGCCAGTTATCCCAGTACCATTTAATAGGGAGTCCTTTCCCCATTGTTTGTTATTGTCATTCTGTCACAGATCTGGTAGTGTGTCACTTTATTTCTGGGTTCTCTAACCTGTTCCATAGGTTTATGTCAATTTTTGTACCAGTACCATGTTTGGGTTACTTTAGCTTTGTAATATAGTTTGAAGCTGGGTAGTGTGATTCTTCTGGCTTTACTCTTATTATTTGGGGTTGAATTGGTGATGAAAGTTGTTTTGGTTCCATATGGATTTTAGAATAGTTTTGTCTAATTCCATGAACAGTGACATTGATAGTTTAATAGGAATAGCACTGAATCTGTAATTCAACAGTATGGCCATTTTAACAATATCAATTCTTCCAATCCATGAGCATGGAATGTTTTTCCATTTGTTTATGTTCTTCTCTGATTTCTTTCAGCAGTGTTTTGTAATCCTCATTGTAGAACTCATTTACCTCCTTGGTAAGCTGCATTCCTAGTTGTTTTTTCTTTCTGTTTTTTTAGACACCAAGATTTTTATTTACCCATCTTCCTGCTTTTTTTCTTAAACATAAACATTATAGACCAAATTATTCTCTTTTTGACCCAGGGCTGTGATACGAACCATCTTGTTACAAAGTGGTAGTAGATCTATGCTTGCTTTTATGTTTTTATGGCCCCTCTCAACCTCTGGCTGTCAGTTCTCTGTCCTTTCTCAGTGGTCCCTTAACAGTCTATTCTAATTCCTATAAAACAGGGACTAAAAGTACCAACCTCATTGTTATGAGGTGTAAGAGCCAGCACTAAGCCAGGCTCTCAGGAAAATTCAAACAACAGCTCATCCTTGCCCTACAGTATAGCTGCTTATCTGTCAAGGGCTGAGGTATCATTGAACCTATAAACCAAGCACACGGGTATAAGTCCACAGACGGGGTGAAGGACTAGATGGTAAAGTATATGGGTTTTGTGACTCCATTACTGACTTCCAGGCAAAGGAAGGACTAACTTAGTGAGCA